GTCTATTTTTTTCTCCTACTCTTTTATTCTCAAGCTTTTTTTATTCTCTCATTGATCTTTTACTCATCCTTTCATTGTATCGATCTATCTTTCTCTCACTGTTTCACCGTCTCTTTCTTTCATTCACTTATTCTCTCTCTCTATCATATTTCTTCATTGTTTCTTTCTTACATTCTCTTACTCTTGCTTTCCTTCATTACCTCACGCTTTCTTTCTTTCTTTGTTTTCTTTTCTTTTCTTTCACTACAAACACATTCTCGTGAGCACTTCAGTATATATATATATATTTTTTATCCTAGCCTGGTACAATACTGCAACACTGGAGCACCCCAAAACACAATGACATCTCTGTTAGGAATCTTGTTCAGCCACAAAATCTTTCGTATACATCTGAGGTGGAACCAGGTGACTTACTTAATATATGCTAACATGATCAGATCCAAGTTTCGTTATCGTATAGGAAGGAGGCTGGTAAGAATGATCGTTCAGTAAACTTACATAGTTTTAAGGTATGCTATATCTATGGGTAAAAGTGTTCAATATCAGAGATAGAGCGTATGTAAATATAAAAGTGGACACTAAAGTGAACAGCAACCGGCTACAGTCTGTTTCACGCTTGAATGCCATCTTCAGACCATGTGTGTTATGTTTTCACTCGACTATTTATACATACTGTTCAATGCTGCATTATGAGTACTAACGTCTATTGTATTATCCTAAAGGTTATTCCGTAAGTGGTAACGATTATGTTTCAAAATATTCTGTAGGAATAGAAATAATTGGGGATCAGAATGTGGTTATTCGTAGCTGTTGTATAGTGTTCTTAACTTTTTACTCATTATTTATTATCGATTACTTAATTATTTATTGTAGATCATTTGTATTTACTCAAACACGAGGTCAGGTTGTGATACAAGGTCGGTTTAATGTGGGGAGCCCGAGCGTGTACACCCGGGCTAAGAATAAAAATTCCCCGAGCCCCCGCAACTCTTGGTTGCGCTGGCCTCGGTGCGAGCACCAAACCCCCTCTCTCTAGCGCAATGAGAGGGTGCGGCCTCGGGCAGCTGTTCCCCAGGGCTGGGCACCTCTCAGTATAATTTTCCTCAGATGCGACACTGTCCACTGAGGGAGCCGACCCTTAGCGCACCCTGCCCAAAGACAGAGACGCAACTGAGAGATGATAAATAAACGCGTTACAAACTACTCGAGAGCAATTTACACACTTTATTGTTGATTATTATTACATTTACTTGTGTTTAGGTGTTCACTCATAGTTTCTTAATTTGTTTATTATTTATTTAATTTGTTTATCTACATATTAACATTTTTGTTTATTTTATTTATTTCTTGTCGGGGTTGTTTATCTTATTTGTTTGGCTATGTATACAGTGTATATATTTGTATATATATATATATATATATATATATAGTGTATATATTTGCATTTATCATAGTCGTATTTTGGAAGGTATTCGTTTAAATCTTGAGGTGTGAAACTGACAGTCACCATGTACTCTTGATTTCTATATCTACAGTATAGGAATTTTTAATATATATATATATATATATATATATATATATATATATATATATATATATATATGTATGTATGTGTGTATGTATGTATACAGGTAATCGATCCCTTGTTATATAATCCGGGTGGATCCTTGTAATATTAGTTATTAAAACTGATCCACAGAGAGCTCGATGTGTTTCTTATAACAGAGCATATGTATTTTTACAGCAAAAACAAAAATTACCTCAACATAAAAGACAGATAAATTTAAAACAATGCTCGAGACAGAAACTTAGGGGCTGATGATAGCCGCGTAGAGAACGGCTTGAAATAGCCTATCTTCTATGTTGAGGTAATTTTTGTTTTTTGCTGTAATATATATATATATATATATATATATATATATATATATATATATATATATATATATATATATATCTTGTCACATTGAGATAGGAGAGCAGTCGCCAGGTGTAACAGCACACCCCACGGATCACTATGTAATGAAGAAAGGTAAAAGTTAAAAAAATACATTGTCAGCGCATGTCAGCATTCATTTTACGCAGGGCCCAAGGATAAATGCTTTGCTCATTTTCCAATCTTGACAGAGTTCAAAACCCTTATTGGAGAAATGTCCTCCAAGGAGGGCAGCGAGAGGCCGATTATTTTATGGGCAACATCTACAATTCTTTAGAGGGCTCTCATGCCCGCCGCCCTGCAGCTTGCTTACCAAACAGTGATGCCATACACCAGCATACTCTCACTGGTTTTTTCACATTAAACTAATAGTTTTTTACAAAATAATATAATATTTGGCTTATATATGTGTCTGTCTGTGTTTATATCTAGACATATAATTTTTCGTCTACCTATTTATGTTTATATGTATGTAATTATTTTTTTATTATATATATACATATATATATATATATATATATATATATATATATATATATATATGAAAGAAAAAATATAGAAAAAACAAACAAAAATTTTAATATGCAATTATGCTGTATTAATGTTAAAAATGTTCAAAATATCGCCCACGTGACGATGACGTCATCATATTTTAAACGGAACGCTGATCTTATATAAAAATTTCAGTTTTCTGTTTGGATTAGTTGTGCTCTTATGTCCATCGTCTTTTCATGTTAAATTTTATATGTTCTAATGTTAATTATGTTTAATGAAAATGTCCTGAAGATGGTATAAAATAGACCGAAACGTCCGACGTTGACTTTATATTAACATTAATACAGCATAATTGCATATTAAGATTTTTTGTTTGTTTTTTCTGTATATTTTTCTTAATACTGTCGGATCTATATCCATATATTTGCTTATATATATATATATATATATATATATATATATATATATATATATATATATATATATATATATATATATATATATATATATATAAAAAAAAAAAACTTGGTAATCCATATGGGTAGTCCCAAGGAGGATGAAATCCTGAGAGCTCAATGTAAATCCAGAGCTAATAATTTAAAAAAAAAACAGACCACTTTAAGGTTCCATTATAATAATTTATTTCATCGGAGCCCTTTTGAGGTTTTGAGGAACGGTGGATCATCAGATAACACTTCCAAAAAATGAAACGAATGCTGAAACGAAAATTCACACTTTTCACAAGTAGTGTTAAGTTTATGTGTGAATTTTCGTTTCATCTTTCGTTTCATTTTTTTTGGAAGTGTTATCTGATGATCCAGCGTCCTAAAAAGGGCTCTGGTGAAATAAATTATTATAATGGAACCTTAAAACGGTCTTGATTTTTTTATTATATATATATATATATATATATATATATATATATATATATATATATATATATATATATTTCCTGTAGATTTCGAAGAATGAAGATCCGACAACTTCATTTAGTATTTATGTTTGTGTCGGACGTGACACTTCAATCCCTCTAGTGACCTGCATACAAGTCCACATATTGTGCAAAAGCGAGCATCTCGAAACATAACAACAGGAATATTTGCTGACGCGTTTCGCCGCTGTCTTTCGTCAATATATATATTGAAAATAACAGACATTGTATATCGATTAATTTTAGTTCGACGTTTCCAAATTAGGAATAATCCTTCGAAAAATAAAAACACGTAATATCTTGTTTACGTCACAACACTGATTGGTTTTTACGACATTAGATTAAAAAATGCTCTCTACGCGCTTTTATCAGATGACTTCTAACGTTTAACCACAAATAGCTTACTTGAAAAAAAAATGCGTTTAGTAAAGTCACAAATTGTCTCTACCTACCCTGATGATGATTTAAGAAAGTCGAAAGCTCGGAATATCCGCCTTGTTTAGAAGGATTAGTCGTCATTTGGAAAAGTCGATTATTAAAATTAATCAACATAAAATGTTTGACGTTTTCAATAGTATTTGCCTTAAAGAACATTTTCTGCCTAAATACACATACAGGGTGTGATGACTAAATTTTTATAATATTATTTTACAATATGTGTGTTGTTTGTTTTTGATTTTGTCGACCGTACAGTTTAGTAGGTCAGTTCTGACAAGAGAGACTAATTTAAAAACCAAATACTCATGCGAGTAATAATGTTACTCCTCCTCAGACCACTATGAATACTACTACTACATTATTTAATTCACTCGGCCAGAAATTTCGAAACGGCATGCTGTACTGTTTGGCATTTGGGCCGGAACCTCCAATACAAACATTTCAGAATGTTTGGGTGTCAATTTGAGGTCAGTGCAGAGGATTCAGAAAGAGTTCGATGAGTTTGATTACGAAGGTTTTTGGAGTGATCACTAGTGATAGCGATGTTATGCCTCCATTCATATTCCTACAGGGCCTCAGACTCAACACGAAGGCCTACATCAATTGTCTAGAAGAGGTAGTGCTGCTTTGTGTCAAGAGGGTGGCTGATGGGAGACCCTCTGTCTGGCAACAGGACTCTACACTATGCCACACAAGCAAGAGTACCCAGTCATGGCTGTCAGACAATTTCTGCGGCAAAATCACGCCTTACATCTGGCCACCTAACTCCCTAGACGGCAACCCCCTAGATTATTATGTGTGGGGCGCAGTTGATCGAAAGATCAAAAAACACTTTTTAGCATGAACTTTTAAGATGAACTGAAGGCAAGGATTATGACAGCATTCACCAGCTTAAACAAGGAGACCCTTCAGAAGAGCAGGAGATTGCGAAGTTGTTTTGGAGGCCGTGGTTGAAGCCGCTGGCGATTTTATTGAATGAATTTACTCTTTACACTATTTACATTATTCGGACTATTGTCCTGATCTTTGTTGCCATATTTATGACAACGCTTCGGCCGTTGTACGCTCCGGCCTTCTTCAGGTGGTTGGAATGTCGAACTGAACCCTTTATTTCGCTCGCTGTTCTAGTTCCACGTGCCAGGTCTAATGGGTGTCAGTTATCAGTTATCTCCTGTTAATTCCCCTTTCCAAGTTCTCCATCGC